GGTCCTAGGACATGAGATCATACATGCATAATTGAGTTTTGTGGCCTATTTCTCACGTAATTGAAAAGGCTACAGTTACTGTGCAGGGGCTGTGCAATTGTAGAGTTGGTTGCATACGTGTAACTCTGCTTATGCAAGCTTGTGATCATGAGAAATGCATGTCCTTCATGCATAATTCAGTCTTGCATGTAGAATTTGGGCTCCTTTCCCGTGTAGGCTACTTTGAATTATGCAAGCTTTGAATTAGAGCACAAAAGGGTCCTGATGACGCCATCCAAGAGGGTTATGATGCAATCTGATGCCCTGATGATGTGATCAAGGATGGGTAAGCTTCAGATAAATGTATATAGCTTATTCCTCATCCATTTCACGCTTCTACTAGCTAATTCTTACACATATGTTATTAATTTATGTATTATAAAATATGTACATAATGTATAAGAATAAATATTGTTTTAATACTTTATTCTAAAGCTATTTCTGTGAAATCCTAGTGATATTATATGTACAATGCTCAAGGGTGTGAAATTCAAGGCTCCAGCGTCCTCTCTAAAAAGAGAAGGATGACTGTACGAGTGGCCAATGAATTAGGTAAGCCCTAACTTCATAGAGCCAAGGTGCATACGCAACCGGTTAGGTTTCAGAGCTGACAGTCGTGTTTCTTCACGCTGCAGCAGCCGACACATCCAAGACTCAGCGAACAACTGAAGAATTGAAGTCAGGTCAACCAGCCAAAATAATCAGGTAAGATTCCGATTATCACTATCATAACAAACAATAGCAAAAGAGTAGAAAACTAAAATACAATCATGAATCTATGTACAGTCACGCACACAACAACAAAGCGACCAAAGAAAAACTATCAGACAGAATCTCCGAGATACAAATCTCAGGTAAGCAATACAATCGCAGATCAGAACGATATAGAGCAACTAAGTCCTGACTGAATCCTACAATAGTGGAACGGTTTCATCCAGATTTACTGGAAGATTGAACCACAGCAGGAACAGCCGCAAACAAGCAAGGAGAAAACAAGTAAGAGCGAGCCTGTCAAGGTTGATAAACAAGCCCAAGCTGACGACTAGAAGTAATCCACTATCTAGATCACTCGTAGCAGCAACTACTGCATCGACAGCAGGAAGTATTGAAATCCCCAACAACAAACCGACGGCTGAAGTATCGCTCCTAGGTAATTTCCTAGTTTTGTTTTCTTTCCTCTCTCTGTTGTTGCTTAAATTGTAAATATTGCTATAGTCTCACATAAGAAATATATATCCTATTTCTTTGAGTTCTCTCAGATTTACAGTCTCGGCTCGGAACCACCGACTCAGGAACCAACACAGGAGCGATACTCTATGGCAGGCAGATCAACCCGTGCGCAAAACCAACCCGAACCTCCAGAACCCTCTACAGCACCGAAACGTGAGGCTTCCAAAGACGATAAAGACCAAGTGAAATGTCCCACGTTCACCGGTGTCAACTTCCCTATCTGGAAACGGAAGATGTGGGTATTTCTGAAATATAAGCGCCTACTCTACTGTATCGAGCAACCCATGTCGGAAGAACCGTCGGAGCAAGAGGAAGAAGACTACCTCGCTGCGGCAGCCACCCTCGGCAGCCACATCTCGGACAAAGTCTATAACCACGTAATCAACGACGACAACATACAGGACGCCTATCAGATTTGGCAAGAACTGAAGTCAGGATACGCGGCTGCAACCGTCTTGGCAATCTTTAGAACCTGGTCAAGATGGGAGGACGTACGATATGAAGGCAGCATGCTTCAATACATCAAGGATATGGAATCGGTACTGGCTGAATTCGCCGCTATGGGACTCGACATACCGCCTAAACTAATCAGCTGCGGCATCATTGCCAGAGTGACCAAGAAACGATCGGCCCTCATGGAAACACTTATCAGTTCCACGGCACTGCTCGAAAGCCCAAAGCAACTCATTGCCAAGCTTCGGGACATCGGTAACCACGATGAAGCCACAGCAGCACCAGCACAAAACCAGACAGCCACGACCACGGCGTTGGCAACGCAAGCATACGTACCCCGGTCTCGTGGTAACAATCACCATCGAGGTAGCTCGACTAGGGGTCGAGGCAGACCACCGAAGAGAGTTCGGGTCAACTGCGAAGGAGGCCATCACCCAAACGCGGGTCATCCCGAGGAGGAATGCTGGACCTTGCATCCGGAGAAGTACGAGGAGGCCATGCAGAGGCGAGCCAATCCTCCGACCACAGGATTACTCACGACGGCAGCCAGCCAACCGCAGGTGGAAGTGCGACCATCGTATGGCTACTACACCAACGTTGACTCCCTCCCGCAGGGGGACAAGGCGGTCTTGGACTCGGGAGCTAGTCATCACATGCTCAACGATGCGAGGATGTTTGTCACCAGGACGCCGGTCAACATCGTTGTATTGACTGGGAACAGGGTAGGAGGCAATGAACTAGTGGCCACGGCTAGAGGAACGGCGGTCCTAAACTTTGACAACGGAGCGACCCTAGAGCTGGCTGATGCGTTACACGTGCCCAGTCTAGCCAGGAATCTGGTCTCAATGGTTCAACTACTTCATCGTCAGGTTACGATAGAGGGAGGTGACGGTCGCTATCAAGTCAAGATCGACAGGCAACAACCATTTCCTGTCAACACGTCCAACTACATCCTGGAAATCGATGGGGTCAGGCAGCCTGCTCCACTACCCCAGGCGAACTCAGCAATGGCGCAGGTCGAGCTCGGAGCCGAACTCAGTGACTTTGAGCGTTGGCACGTTAGGCTAGGTCATGCCAGCAGTGCAAGAATTCAAGCAGTTCTAAAAGACTCGGTTCGGCTGGGCAAGCCGGCTACTTGTCAAGCGTGCATGGCGGGGAAGCTTACTCGTCTACCATTCAACAGCCACTTCAAGCCAGCGGTGGAGCCTCTGCAGGTCGTCCATGGGGACCTCGTCGGTCCAATCACTCCAGCCACCAATGGCGGGGCTAGGTACTTTCTTACACTTGTGGACCAGTACTCTGGGCACATATCCACCAAAATCCTCAAGCTCAAGAGTGACGCCCTCGAGGCCATCAAATCGTACATCGCATACGTCGAGCGGCAAACTGGACACAAGGTCAAGAAGTTCGTAACGGACGGAGGGGGTGAATTCGTCAACAAAGCGCTCACAGAAATTCTTACGGAGGCCGGCATACAACACAATGTATCCCCACCTTACACGCCTCAACATAATGGCTTTGCGGAGAGGGCAAATCGTACGATCATCGAAATGACTTGGACTCTCCTGATGCAGGCGAATCTTGCGCCAGAATGGTGGGGTGAGGCAGTGACGGCGGCGACAGCGACAACCAATTGCCTTCCTTCTCTAGCCAAGAGCAAAGCATCTCCTATAGAACTAATGTTCAAATCGACTCCGAACATTGAAATTTTTCGACCATTTGGCTGTCGGGCTTGGATCATCAAGCCCAGCCAAAACCGCAAGACCAAATTTGGCTCTCTGTCCTGGGAAGGTATTCATCTTGGGTATGAAAATGACTTATCGACCTACAAACTTCTCAGGCTGGAGGACAAAGCAATTGTCACGACGAAGCATGTGCAATTCGACGAATCTACCTTTCCACACTGCGCAGCACTACATCGCAGTCACAACGCGTATGGCATCAACAAATTGCCGGCCTTCACGTCTGAGGAGCCGCTTCCTTACTCGGAGGAGCAGGACCTTGACCGTGAAAGGAGGCAGATCGACAAAGAGAAACAAGCTGAAATGCAGGACATCCTAGGCCGGTTGGCTTCACCGGAGAGGGCATCCAGTGAAACTCACAATGAAGAGGCCGAAGGCGCTCAGGCAACCGCCACAGAGGGCGCATCCGTGCCCGCCCCAGCGGGTCCTCGCAGGCTGATTCTACGACCGCCGCAACATCCGACGCTAGTAGTGGGCGACATCAGCACTGACAACATTCGTAACTACAAGCGCCGAACTGCTTTCATCGCGACCGCATCGCCACCTGAACCCAAAAATCACAATCAGGCCATGTCTGGGCCAGACAGCAAGGAATGGAAGGAAGCCGAGTCGAAGGAAGTCGACAACATGATTCAGCATGAAGTCTGGATCCAGCGTCGGCGAGCGACTGACGACTCGCCCATCCCTGCAACCTGGGCGTACAGGAAGAAGCTAGGAGACAAGAATCAAGTCATCGAGCACAAAGCAAGAATCTGTGCTCAAGGATTCCGGCAAACCTACGGGCTTAATTTCCTGGCCAAGTATGCGCCGACGGGCCGGCCGGCGTCGCTCCGGATGCTTATCTCCTTCGCCGTTGACAATGACTTAGCCGTACATCAGCTTGATGTACGCAGTGCCTTCCTAACCTGCCCTCTGGACGACAAGGTAACCTTACTGCCTCCACCCGGCTTTGACTGTCCACCCGACACGGTATTGGAGCTCAAGAAGGCAATATACGGCTTACGGCAAGCGCCTCTGGTCTGGTATAAGCGGCTGTCCACTTACTTGAAGACGCTGGGTTTCTCCATCTCTCAGTCGGACCCGTGCGTTTTCTGGCGCGTAGGGGTAGCCCATCGCGAGGATATGTGGATTTTTGCGCACGTTGACGACTTGGTCATCATCAGCAAGCGACCAGAACACTTTAAGAAGGAGATGGAGGCCGAATTCAGCATTAAGTACCCCGGAGAGGCTGTCTTCCTTCTCGGTATGAATATTGATCGGTCGGAGCATGGCATAGCCATCAATCAGACGCAGTACATCGAACGCAAGCTAGTGCAGTTTGGTTTCGACTCCTTACATCCCGCCACTTGTCCGCTCAACCCAAAGGAATACCTGAGGAAGGCCACGGCAGCGGAAGTGGAGGAGCTACACAACATGGGGGTCAGTTATAGGGCGCTGGTGGGTTCCCTTAACTACTTGAGTGTTCTCACCAGGCCGGATATCTCCTACGCGGTTAGCACCCTATCCCAGTATCTCAACCGACCCGGCATTAGGCACTACTACGCAGCAGTGCAGGTCTTCCGCTACTTGCTGGGCACTAAGCACCTTGGCCTCATCTTCCACAAGAACACATTGGCGCCGTTGGTGGCTTATGTGGACGCTGACTGGGGCAATTGCCCGGACACGAGGCGCTCAACCACAGGCTTCGTCGCAATGTCAGGCAACCACTTGATTACGTGGAAGTCATCCAAGCAGCCCACAATCTCGCTCTCGACCTCAGAAGCGGAGTATAAGGCGTTATCGGATCTGGGCAGGGAGCTGGCGTGGCTTGCCAGCCTTGTGAAGGAAATTCGGGTGAACGAGAGCCATGCCGCAATAACGGTGAAAGTCGACAATCGGGGCGCCATCGACATGGCTAAAAGCGAAATTTCTCAGAATGGCTTTCGCACCAAGCACATGGACATTCGCCTGCACTTCGTGAGGGAGCTACTGGACGTTGGGCTAATCACTCTGGCCTACGTGTCCTCGGCTGCAAATGCAGCAGATTTCCTCACAAAACCTATAGGCCGGTGCCCGCTAAAAAGGTCGCTAGCCCTAATAGGGATGCTCCAAGCCTCTCAGTCTGCTTTGACTCTGTTGACTCATAGCACGGGGGGCTGTGAAATTCAAGGCTCCAGCGTCCTCTCTAAAAAGAGAAGGATGACTGTACGAGTGGCCAATGAATTAGGTAAGCCCTAACTTCATAGAGCCAAGGTGCATACGCAACCGGTTAGGTTTCAGAGCTGACAGTCGTGTTTCTTCACGCTGCAGCAGCCGACACATCCAAGACTCAGCGAACAACTGAAGAATTGAAGTCAGGTCAACCAGCCAAAATAATCAGGTAAGATTCCGATTATCACTATCATAACAAACAATAGCAAAAGAGTAGAAAACTAAAATACAATCATGAATCTATGTACAGTCACGCGCACAACAACAAAGCGACCAAAGAAAAACTATCAGACAGAATCTCCGAGATACAAATCTCAGGTAAGCAATACAATCGCAGATCAGAACGATATAGAGCAACTAAGTCCTGACTGAATCCTACAATAGTGGAACGGTTTCATCCAGATTTACTGGAAGATTGAACCACAGCAGGA